ACGGCTGAAAAGGCGAGCATGTTTGGTGTGACGAGGATTCGAACTCGCGACCTTCAGATTGCGAGTCGAGTGCCCTAACCACCTGGCCATGCCGGGCCGTTTTGTATTACAATAACTTAACAAGGGTCCACAAGATATAATAAAATATTTTTATTTAATAAAATTTTAGGGCAAAGTCCTGTAACGTAAGACCAAGTTTATTTCCTATTTTTGTATTACTTTTTAATTTTCTTGGACAAAGAACTATTGTGCCTTTTCTTTTAGGGTCGCGGGTTCGAATCCCCGTCCCACCAAACATGCTCGCCCTTTCAGCTGTGGGGGCGTTATTATGTCACGGTCAATCCCACTATTCGTTGGTAAAAGAGTAGTCCAAGAGTTGGCGGTGGGCGACGAAGACTAGCTGCCTTCCCTCTAGTCTTTTACTGCTAAATTAGGGACGGGTAGTGCAGATAGCCCTCGTGTAGCTTTGTGCGAAATTCAAAACAAAACAAACAAACAAACCAAACAATCTTCTTTTTTTTGGCGATTTATAGTTTATATAGTTATCACTAGATGGCAAAGTAAGCTACCAAAACCAAGTCACCTTAATATATACTGTATATACAGAACAGTTAGGTATAATTTTGAAACTATAATTTAAAACCGTTTAAAATTATATATTTCAATAAAATTATCACACGAGGGTACTTCCTAATGGCAACATAACTGAATGATAATTCTAAAACTAAGTAATACTGTCTTGAAAGTAGCCATTGAAATCTAGTTTTTTTTTTATCTAACGAAATTACATTTCACGAACAATGTCTTCCATGCTATCATATTTAATAGTGTAGCGTATTGTACAGATTTTATCTATTAGCAGTGGTTCATGTTCTATATCTTGCAAGTTGTCTGGTGTGACAACTAGGAAGGCTGACAAATCGTATTCGCCTTTATCATATTAACAGTGGCTTTTGGTTTATCTTGATGCAAAAGGTTTGGCCTGTCCACTGCCTAGGCTAAAAACGTTTCATAATCTTTTTCTTTTTTATATTTGTAATTTTTTTAAAATTCCAATAGGTGGGGTTTAAAACTGTAGAATGATAAATAATTTAACTTTTATTTACAACTGACTTCTATATAAATCTATATACAGCTATCAATCGTTAGTGACCGTGAATATTGTTAAAATAATGTTTGACTTGTGTACAGATAACTCATTGTGTGGCTTTATGCTTGCCAACAATCCTAACATCCAAATACTGAGATTGCCCAATTCGGGCCTGGCATGGCCAGGTGGTTAGGGCGCTCGATTCGCAATCTATGGGTTGGGGATTCGAATCCATGTCACCGAACATACTTTCCACCGTGGGGATTTAATAATGTAACGGTCAATTTCACAATTCGTGCGTAAAAGAGCAGTCCAAGAGTTGGCGGTGTATGTCGTTGATTAGCTGCCTTCTCTCTAGTCTATCACTGTTTTATTAGGGAGGCTACTGCAGATAGTCCTCGAGTAGTTTTACGCGAAATTCAATAACAAAATAAAACCATGCTTCTGGTGCCTACAATTACAACCTAGGCAAGTTTCTGACCTGGAATTTCTCCCCGTATGTAACTTCTGTTTTCTCGCATATGAAAAAAAGGTTCAACATAATTTATTAAGAAGCTTTAAAATTTTGATCACATGTTTCCGTTATGACGTCATTTCTCTCTTCCCAGGGAAGCTTGTGTGTTCCAAAATTCAAAATTATCCTCTCCCTGTCCTGTCTTACTTCTGTTAAAAATTGAATTATTACCGCTACAAAAAATAACCAGCTGTCAGCTTAGCAACTCAGATCGATGGCGTAGCTAAGGGTAATTCATTTGTTCCCGTCCTTTATAATTTATTTACCATTTCCACCGAACAACATACTTTTAAACACTACATTATTTCCTTCCAGGATACGATACGTTGATGACGTTTTTACAGGTTTTTTTTTCCCCCGATCTACAACGAGCCCAGACTTTTGCAAAAATATTTAATATACAATATTCTTAATTAAAATTTATCATGGAGCAAGAAAAACATAAAACCTAATCGCTTTTTTAAATGTTCTTATACATAGATCAGGTCAAGTGTTTACCGCAAGGTCACCCACATTGACCTCTACATACTTTGGAATTCAATTAACCCTTCCTATAAATAAACCGACATTTTAAAAACTTTAATTTCTAATGCTATAAGTATCTGCAATCCCCAAAACGATCTGAATCCAGAAACCCAGCATCTAATAACCCTGTTCACTTCACAACCTGCCCCCCATAAGTATCTGCAATCCCCAAAACGATCTGAATTCAGAAACCCAGCATCTAATAACCCTGTTCACTTCACAACCTGCCCCCCATAAGTATCTGCAATCCCCAAAACGATCTGAATTCAGAAACCCAGCAT